GTGTAGTTAGTGTGTAGTGTTGTGGATAGTTTCGTGTTGTGTGTCAGAACAATGAGGTGACTGCTGTCTGCAGGTATCAGGCTTGTGATGTTCTCCTTTATAGTGGACAAAAATATTTTTTTGGAGTGGCACAAATAGTTTGCGTGGCATCTTACTGAATGCAGAACAGCTGATTGTTCTGTAAATAATTTCAAATGGTTATAAAAAAAAAAGGGTAAAAGGTAAATGGCTGCAAATAACTTTGCTGTTTGCAGAACTTTTGCATAGGATTTTAAAATTGACAATTTATATTTACATGTAAATATATATTTAAATATATATTTAAATCGGCCCGGGGGCCGATGGCGCGATATGGCAGCCTCGCTTCTGTCAGTCTGCTCCAGGGCAGCTGTGGCTACAACCGTAGCTGCCTCCACCAGTGTGTGAATGTGAGAGTGAATGAATAATGGCATTGTAAAGCGCTTTGGGTGCCTTGAAAAGCGCTATATAAATCCAATCCATTATTATTATTATTATTAAAGTTATGAAATGTGATTCAGTAAACATGTTTGTGGTTGTTACAGTAAAAAAATATAACTTTCTACTCAAATTTGTGTTAATACAGTATGTCAAAATGAAAACATGACTGTAAATTCGGACACATGAGGTTGTGCTGAAAAGTATGATACCAAACAAGAAAAAATAAATAGTTTTTAAGGTGAAATGTAGAGGTAAAATCAAAAGTAGTTAAAAAATGGACAATTATACCCTGGACCCCAGAGGGTTAAACACTTCTTTTTAAGTAACGCAATAGTTACTTTTCAAGTAATTAATTACTTTTCTTGTAACTCAGTTACTAACTCAGTTACTTTTTTGAAGAAGTAACTAGTAACAACAATTAATTACTTTTTCAAAGTAACTTGCCCAACACTGCCTGTGACACAGGGCTTGGTCTTGTTTAAAGGCCAAAAACAAAAAGGGTTTCTTAAGTTTTTTATCTTAAGTGTCTCCCTGGACAAGTTCAATTTAAAAGAGGATTTTAGCAGTTTACAGGAAACTGACTTGTTTTTTAATAACTTTGTCAGCTCCTGTTTCTCATCTCCTCATTATACACTGTGTATTTAGTCGCCCTGTCTATCTCTGCCAGTTGTCAGATCGTCTGTTCATCTTCCCTCATGGTTTTAGGTCTCAGGTTTTCATGATCCAGCTTTTTTCTTGCTCCACATACCTTGTGTTTAGTTTGTTCCCAGATTAGTTTTTGTTAGTTTGATCTTTGTCTCCCTCTGTCTTCGCGTCACCTGGCCCTGCTCCGCCTCTGCCAGTGGTTTGTCCTCCCCCTGTTCTATCAGACGCAGATGATTTAAGAATCTATAATTTAGTATCAACACTCTTGATAAGACCTTGAGAGAGATTTAATTTGCATAAAAGGCAAAGAAAAGAAAAACAATCATATATTGGCCTCAAATGTGTTTCTCAAATGAGATGTAAAACTCTCATCTGAGAATGCTAATGTTAAAAAAATGTATATACACACTAAGCATAGATACAGGGGACTTGCTTAAAAACACATGTATGGGATCGAACATTTGGAAAAACATAATTGAACAATGTTGGACATACCTAATCCATGAACTAAAAACAAAGCAGCAGAAAAACTGGACACACAGGATGAACACAACACAAGAACCTTGAGTGATTGTTCCACAAGTATTTCTTGTTTTATACTCAGTCTTCCTCATCATCATGTTTTCACTTTCCTTTCTTGTTGTGCCATCAGCTACAACATAATGATACTCTGTACAATATTTTTAAAGCCATGTAATCATGTAAGCAAAGAAGGAATAAAAAGAACTTCAGGAAACTAAAGTAAATAATTGACTGAAAGAAAATTTGGGAGGCATTCTTTCAACACCGGGGTGGGCAGTAGAATGATTACAATGACCAATAATTTCTTATTTTTAAAGTGATTATTTTGTATTGTTGAATACAGATTAAGTTGAAATGCTGTAAGATTTTACACTGGAGACTATATTTTGTTGTCAGTATTACTCAGTAGCGGTTTTAGATACGGGCGACACGGGCGGTTGCCCGGGGCGGCATCGTGGTGGGGGGCGACATCACGGGCATCGGCGTCAGTCAGCGCATATTGGGAATGACATACGCACCGATCGGTTTTCTATCGCCCATTTGCTGGGAGTAAGGGCGCCCTTTGTTTGCGAGGTGCGCCTGCTGCTTGCGGCGCAGGGAGGAGGGGGCGGCTGGGAATTCTCTGACCGGCTGGAGCAGCATCTAATAACCAACTCGCAAAATAAAAACAAACCAACAAACACGAAAAAAGCGGACATTATGATACAGACTTATAATTTGCACTGATGTTTTTTTTCGAAATTCCTTACGCAAAAAGTGAGCGGAAGAGCCCTTGATGCGCCTGCTTGCTGCCGAAGTCAAAGTAATCTTTATTGTCATCTCCGCCATATACAGTCCAGTATATAGAGAGACAAGACGACGAGGCTCCAGTTACAGCAGTGCAAGTAAACAAACAGTAAATATAAGAAGAGTAAGAAAATAAATATACACTTTAGGACTGAGGTAAAGGGATCAATAACAATTTAAATTTTATAATTTACAGTTTGATGATTTAAAGTCTCACACAACCCGTCGAAAGGGGAGGGGGTGGCTGCTTCCAAATAGAGCACATTTCATTTATAATGATGTAAATCCAAGCCCATTATGTATTCATGATTTGAATCCTGGGTTGTGTGAAATCTCAGAAATGCACCCTAGACAAAGTAATTCTGTGAACTAAGGTGAAGGTCTGTTAGGTTATGTTGTGGTGATCCTCGGTTTGAGGGATGGGTGTTCATACTGGAGTGCAAAATTAAAACCAATGAAAGATGGACAAGAAAAGTTCAGAGCCAGCAGGTCCTCAGTTTAGAAAAAAGAGAAAAGAAGAGGAGTTACAAAATATCATTCCATTCATTTGTTTGAAAAGGAGGCGGGTTTTCTAAACAAAAGCTTCAATAAGCATCTCGCTCTTATCCTGAAGATTGTGGGATACTGTTTGTCCGTGATTTGAAGAGCCCAGTGCGTGCTCCTGATGAAGGGAAAACCAATTCTGCAGGGGAGACCTACCTTGGCACTTGTGCAGGTGAAACCAAAGGGCAGATATGCTTCACCATATTTTCTAGTGTTTGGCTTAGAATGAAGTTGGTTTGGAAACATATTCAGCTATGCTTCATCTTCTGATTTGCATTTGTGGAGGCGCCCCGTGCTAGCAGTGTCCAAGCATTGTTTTTTGGGTTTTTTTTTTCCTGCAATGGCTCTGCGGGCCCCACACTTTGGGAAGGTCTGTCCAGTGTTGCCAACTCCTCAGGAAGGAAAACTGCTATTGGCTGTCCCAAAAGTCGCTAAATTATGTCATCGCCTAATTTGAATAATTGGTCACGCTGATATAATTGTAACCTATGTAGTTGGAGAGAGAAATAACATTGTGGAAGAGACATAAAGTGAGTAAAAAATGTCCTAAATGCATTTAGAGTTTATTTAGAACTACAGATTAATTGAGTTACTTTGTGTGTGTGTGTGTGTGTGTGTGTGTGTGTGTGTGTGTGTGTGTGTTTATAAGTAGTTTTAAACCTCGTGATCCACAAAACAGCATAACAGTAAACTGACTGCGTTACAGTCAGTGCGGGAGCAGCGGCTTCGCTCATGCGCGATTCATTTGCAGTTCGGATGCATAGGCGTGAACATCTTCTGCCCTGATAGCAGCTGGGGGAGGACTATCCTCCGCCCGTGAGCGCTTTGGAACGGGCGGCACCCGCTGCTTGTTGAGAGTAAAAGCGATACCCGCTTTCACATCAAAAAGTCGTCATAAATAAGTCTCCAATAACACCAGAAAAAGTCGCCAGATTTGTTGCTAGTCGCTTTTTAGAAAAAAAAAAGTCGCTAAGGGAGTCTGAAAACTCGCTAAATATAGCAACAAAGTCACTAAGTTGGCAACACTGGGTCTGTCCTATGCACAGGTAAGTAGTCAGTGATGTGAGCACCACACCCATAGATACACATACACAAATAGAAAGACAGAAGACAGAGGGGAGGAGCATAAACACCAAATACATGTTAATATAAGGAGGAGAGCTTGATGTACATAGCAGTCAGAACTTGACATCAGCAACAGAGACATCCTTTTTGTGCAGACTGAAGTTCATCACCATGGCCAAGGTAATTAACACACACTTAAACAGTAACATAAGTCATGATATTATGAAGCAGGTGCTGGGTTGGGGGGACTCATATAAGAATTATTTTTTAAATTTTATATTTTATTTGTTTTCATATTTCTATATTGTATATAGTTTTTTGTTCAAGATGAGTATGCTAAAGCCTTTTAACTACACTTCAGTCGGATTAGTGACGGTTAATTTTCCCCAAAAAACTCGATATATTGAAATATGTTTTTGTATTTGAGTTTTCTGTCCAAGTACCCCATTTTGTACTTGCTTCATTTTCCAAGAAAAGGAGTCTGTGAATGGATATTTTTTGGACACCAAATGCGCTTAGGTGGATGAATTTGGTTATTTTCAGATCTGACCAATCAGACCACTGCATTTGGCAACAAGTTTGTTCGTAGCTCAAAACATGCAGTGGTACTGAATATACAATGATATGTAAATAGTAAAATAACTATTTTAGCTCATTAAATGTGGTCCCAATTTTGGCAACAAGAGCTCAAAGTGCCCTACTAACATCCTGAAATCCTGAATCATCAGCATTTGCATTTTCTGTTGTACAGTTCATTTGCTGTTATAGTGTTCTTGTTATGGATAAAAAGTGTCTTTTTTGTTTGCACACATTTACACCTAATTATAATAAAAATCCAATTCAAGGGACAGACTGCTTTATCAACTTTATATACTTGACATCAGATTTTTTTTACTATTTTTAGCAGTGTAGTACTGTACCAACTGAAAACAATTAAGCCAACGTTCTAAAAAGTGTGTGTCCTACATTTTACTGTAAAGGGTGGCACATTTAGCAGGTGAGCTTGCAAAAGCTCTGAAGGTGAAGCAGTTGGAGCAGATCAAGCCACTGGAGGAGTTGAAGGAGTTGAAGGAGTTGAAGAAGTTGAAGCCTTTGGAGTTGGAACAGTTGAAGAAATTGCAGAACTTGACGCCTCAGGATTTGAAGGAGCTGCAGGAGTTGATGCCTGAGGATTTGGAGAAGTTGAAGAAATTGCAGAATTCGAAGCCTGAGGATTTGGAGAAGTTGAAGGCTGAGGAGTTGGAGGATTTAAAGAAATTGGTAGAGTTGGAGAACCTTGGTTTTACGAAGTTGGAGAAGTTGAAGAAATTGCAGAACTCCAAGTCTGAGGGTTTGGAGAAGTTGAATCCTGAGGATTTGAAGATGTTGCAAAGGTTTAAGCCTAAGGATGTGGAGAAGTTTGAGAAGTTGGAGAGGTTAGATGAGTTGAAGAAATCACTCATCAGTGACCAAGATGTTCTCTGTGTGCAGATTGCCGGTCTTTGTCATGACCTAGGTAAGTAATACACATACTTTTTATAGCATAAGTATTATGTTGCAGATAGTCATCATAGGGTGTTATTAAACATGAAAGTCAAATGAAACCATTCCCATGTCAAGTACTATGTTGACTTTGACCACTGATGTGGCTAGGACTAACAAAGTCTTAAATGAAAGCAGAAAATAAAATCCATGTATTTAACAGGATCAACATTTAAGAAGTTATCACAAATCACCCTGTTGTTCATATCATATGTTTATTTTGTCATATAAAGGACATGGGCCCTTTTCTCATTTTTTTGATGGGATGTTTATGGATGCAATCAAAAGAGACAAAAAAGGCAAAGAAGAATGGAGGGTAAGAGTTTGAAATAATAGTTGGAACATATATACAAATTTAAATAATTAAATTAAAAAGCGATCTGAGCTTTAGAGGCAACTGGTTTTAAACTTTGAAGAACTATGTTTCCCGGTGCTATGGTTCTTAGTTTCTGTAATATTTTGGAGTTTTGATCCCTTCGTTAATATAATCATGTCTGAGTTTCTATTTACCTTTTTCCTGCTTTTCAGTGTTTACGGCTAAGATTTTTTTTGTTTCATTATAATTAGATTTGTGTTTGTTACCTTTATTGTTCTAGTATGTTGATAATCTTTTGGTATTTTTCCATTATTATGGCGAGTGTCCATTTTATCTCAACTTTGTTATTCGTGCCTCTCTGGTGTTCTTGTTGTGTCTTGTTTTGGTGTGTGTCTTTTCTCTGTGTTATTTCTTGTTTTATTATAATAGTTAAATTGATAGGTAATAGTATCTCTTCTGCCTTGCTTTGAGTTTTACTTCCCCTGTGATTGTCTTGATTGTCTGCACCTTTATTTTGTTTCTCCTAGCTGTCTATCTTCCTTAATCACCCTCTGTCTATAAATTAAGAGAGGATGCAGGGTCATCTGATCAAACGCTAACTATATGCTCTATAGTTAGGGCTGGTTTAGGTGACCCTGCATCTGCTGCAATAAAGCTAGGCTGCTGGGGCTTCCCATGAATGAAGAATATCTTCTTCACTGAACTTTTTTCACTCACTATGTGTTAATACACCAATCTGCATTTAATCATTACTATTAATGGTTCTTGCTCTCTTTTGCCCTGTCTTCCTCCCCTCACGCCAAAACTGGTTGCAGCAGATGGCTGCCCTTCCCTGAGCCTCGTTCTGCCAGCGATTTCTTCCTGTCAACCCCTTAAAACCTTAAATATGATATTATTTCCAGAAAATTCAATTTATTTTTTTTAAATGGAGAGTTTATTGATACATTTGACAATTTTTAAAAAAAGATATTAAGTACATTTCAATTTTCAGATGTGACTTCCATTGTATTTCCTACATCTGTCTTTTTTTAATTACTTAAAATGTGTTCTCAGAGAGAGAAAAAATCACACCGACGATGGTAGAAGGCTCAAAAACTCAAAAAACTGTTTCTATCAAATATGACACACTAGGCATAAAAAGATGTGGTTGATGGGGTTTTCTCTATATTATTGTAGTATTTTTACCTTACAATATAAAGCACTTTGAGGTGACTCTTGTGATTTGATGCCAAACAAAACTGAATTGATCATAATTTATGGAAGACATGGTTTTATTTGGTGTCTAGTCTGTATTTGAGTCAAATCCTGAACTGAAAAATAAAATCAGAGTACCTACTCTCACTCTCAGGGTATCTCAGCCACCTTTGTCTGGGCCCTGTGGTGTAAGGATGCTCTTAAGGGTGTAGGGTGGTTGTTGTTGGGTTTAACTCAAATCAAATCTTTTCTTATCACTTACCAGTTAATGGAAATGACTAGAATTTATATTGTGGCATTTCTGGTCCAACTGACTACTCAAAAAATTCACATTATAAGCTGTTATTCTATTCACTGCAAAAACTCTAGCAGGCCCAACGAGAAATCCATACAGAGTAAATATATGTCAAATGTAAAATTATAGCTACACTGTAAACCCAAAGAAGTTTGCAGAATGTAAAAAAATTGAGGCTACTGTTTGCCTCAATCACATGTAGTACTGCTAAATTTAAAAACTTAAGTACATTTCTTCAGTTCAACAGTATTTTCTTAGCCATGACCAATAACACACTGCAATGCCAAAATTTTAAAAATACTAAAATAAATCATTTTAAAAAGAACATAAGATGCTAAAGACATGATGTGCAGTTTTGAAAATCTCAATTGCAGATTTGATGACCCCAACACTGATCCCAACAAAGAGGGGAAATACCTCCAACATTCACAAACATTTGACCATGTAATTAATTTGCACGAAGTTAATGTCTTTGGTATGCTGCTTAGAGATGCTGGTGACAATGAGCAAATGAGAATTGAGAATCAAGAAGGAATCGAATCAATAAGTGATATTGATAATGGAAATGGAATCGCTAAATTCTTATCAATTCTGAACCCTATGTACCACTGTCCTTCTTGTAGTCCAGTGATTGCAACAAAAATTAAACAAAACAACAAAAAATAAAACAAGATACTGTGGTCTGATACAATCACCCAGACTCTTGAGTCTCTTAAGTTGGGGAAAAATTTACCAGCATTCAGACTACCGTACTCTGAATTAATACAGTGTCATTCAGTCCCTTGGTAATAATTGTAGTAGTAGGTTTAGTGCATAGGTCACTTAAAACATTACCAACAAGGTCATCAGCAACAGTTCTTGGGAGATCTTGTTTGATTTTTAGTTACAACTCTGTATTTTTGTAGTTGTTCTGAGTGCAAACTACTTATGGGTAGATAAAAACAGATGATCTGTGTTCTAGGCAGTAATCGCTTCAGAGGCCACTGAACCCGAGTGACAAATGGAAGCAAGGTTGAGATGGTTTGGAAATGTGGAGAGAAGGAATAGTAGATATAGTGGACAAAGGATGATGAAGATTAAGCAGTAAGACATGAGAAAAGCAAGAGGAAAGCAAAAAAAAAAAAAAAAAAAGTGTTCTAATGCTAGAATTCAAAATTTCAGTTTGAGTGCGGGTGTCCCCAACTTTATAAACAGTACACTTGCATAATGACTGAAACTAGCCCACTGATGAACAATGGCCATTAATATGCAAATTGTCATTAATGCTGATCAACCAACAACCACTCTTGTCTTAACAAAGGAATAGAGTAACATATATGTTAAATGTACTTTAGATACTAAATCTATGCACTAACTTCAAAATTTAGTATGATTGTCTTGTCCACAATAATAGAGGGATATGAGGGGATATGATGTCTGAAAGGGATCACTTGGTAAAGTTATTTTATTTTATGAAGGGCTCTTTCGTTTGCTTGTTTTTGGCTTTTTCATTTTGTATTGCTTTTAATTCAGATATTGTACATTGGCTTTGTAAAGCAAATTGATGCTGTTTTTTAAACGTGCAATAAAAATAAGGTTTGCATGCTTGCTTTTTTTTCCATTTTAACCTGTCGCCACTAAAGCATCCACCTGTGTATTCTTTCAGCATGAGAAGGCCTCTATTGAAATGTTTAAACACCTACTGGATCAAAATGGCTTAAAAGAAGTGATGAAGAAATATGGACTGAAAGTAGATGAAGATGGAACTGACCTGGTGTTTATTGAAGAAATGATTAAGAAACCTCAGGATGAAAAACCTCAGAATGATGCAGCTCAGGATAATGAACATCAGAACAATGATGCTTCCACGAAGGTACTGGTCAATTGGGTGAATTAAGTATTATCTTTCCTACAGAAGTCAGTGTCTAATGTCTTGATGCATGCTCAATCATTCAGCCAAGAAAATCCCAAAAAGTTGATTCTGCTCATCTGGGCATAGCGTTTTCAGTGGGAGGAACGTTTCATCACTCATTCAAGTGACTTCTTCAGTCTTAGTGTCTAATGTTTGTCTTTTGGCTTTGTCTCCACAGTGGCCATATAAAGGTCGAGAAGAGAAAAAATCCTTTCTCTATGAAATTGTGTCAAACAAGAACACCGGGATTGATGTTGACAAGTTTGACTACTTTGCCAGGTAAATCTTGCTTTACAAAAGAAATATTCATATTTTGATGCAATGCGCAAAACTACTTTATACTGTTTTCTGCTTTCAACTCGTTAGTTTTATGATTTACTATTTGTAGCACACTTCGTGGTTCTTTGAAGAGTTTACCATAAGTTGATGAGGGTTTTTTTTTTTAGGTTTTGTTAAAATTTATTTTCTTTTTTTATTTGCATATTTCCTCTCTCCCATCTCAGGGATTGCCACCACCTGGGCATTCCGAACAGCTTTGACCATCAGCGCTTCGTCATGTTTGCCAGGGTGTGTGATGTGGAGGAGGATAGGAAAAAAACTAAGCACATTTGCTCTAGAGACAAGGTATTGACTTTTGCTTTTTTAACATTTATTTTTAAGGAAAAATTAATCTGAGTAGCTATAACTAAACTATGGCTGTCAACAGGAATCTGCAAACCTGTATGACATATTCCAGCAAAGGCTCTCGATCCACAGAAGAGCCTGCCAGCACAAGATAAAAATGGCAGTAGAAATTATGTGAGTACCTAGAGTTCCATTTTCAATACTACACAACATTTAGCTTGTCTGAAGTTGTGCCCCTGAAGTCATATGTTGCGTCATTTTATCTAGGCTCAAAGATGCCCTCATACTAGTAGATGACCATCCAGACTTCAAAATTAAAAGTTCAAAAGGGGAGATGCTAAATATCTCCCAGGCAAATGGTGACATGGAGGCATACACAAAGCTGACAGGTAGTGGCTTCAATCTGTGTTGTGTATAAATTATAAATTGTTTATCCATACACTTTTTTTAAATTTTATTTTAATTGTATTTATTTTTCTCATTCAGTTTATTTCAGATAAACCATCTCCAAATACAAATTGTAAAAGATTACGGACAACACTCAAATAGGACTGTTTCTTTTGACTGACACTTTTAAATTAATTTAACTGTATATTGATTTAAACTACTGTTGTCTGCAGATGGGCTTTACTCTGTTACATTATATTTAGTAATGTTTGCTATAATAATTCAGCTGGGTTTTTTGTGATATAAATTCGTATAAATAACTTTATAAGGCATTACTGATACATTTGTGAAACTGAACTAAATTGATCTTGTTTGAACTGACTTAACTTCCAATTTATTTCTGTGTTTACTCTGAAGATCATGTGTTTGAAAGAATACTCCATTACCAGGAAGGAAGGAAGGAACCTTCCTCTGAGGAAGAAAGGAAGAAAGAACAAGATTTGGAGCAGGCAAGAGAGATTCTAAAGAGGGTCATGGAACGGGACCTGTACCGCTGTGTGGGTCAAGCCAAGGTATGCAGTTATGTTTTTATGTGCCTGTATTAAAAGCCCAGTATTCACACTGAATGGGATGCATGGATGGAGGAAGGGAGGGAGGGAAACTCAGAACCTGAACTTACAAAGCATACAATACTACTTTCCAAGAGTCGTTTTCATGTAAGTACTAAAACACCAAGCTGTACATTTATAGATATATATTTTCTGAAGAATGTTTTGGAACAGCTCAAATGTGGTGGGTGTGAAAACTCCTGTGTGAAATAGAGAAATTGAGAAAAACATTATCTTTAAACATGTGGTTTCATGTAATTGTGCTTTCTGTGTGTATTCAGTAATGAATAAATCCTTTTCTTTGCCCTCCTTTTCCAATTCAAGAAAAAATCAGGAGAGGTAAGAAAGCAAGAATGAGAACGGCTCTTTAAACAAGATTAGCTAAAACAACAGTAACAACACTGATGTTCTCTCCTCCATCCTTCAGGAGATAAAGGAAAGGTTAAAAAACCTGGTTAACGACATTCAGGAGGACGGGAAAGACAGAGATGAAGTTAATGTTGGTTTTATTAATTCATCAAACTTTTAAAGTCTTGTTTTTTTTTTAATTAATTTCCTTTAAAATATGTTTCAAACTTCCACTGGTTTATTATTTACATATGAATATAAACACAGGGTCTCTGTTGCATTTCATTTTAGAATGTCACTTTGACATATAACATGGGAAATGAGAAGTCCATCACTAAAGAATATTCTTATGACAAGGAGAACTCTAAAACACCAGAGGTGAGAACTATAACCCTCATTTACATGCACTGTGTTCTTCTTTTATGCTTCTCCATAAAACAACTTCGACTTTGCCATATATCATTTTTATGCTGCTGTCCCTTATGTCCGGTGTCCAAGGAGAATGATTCTGAGAGCATATCAGTCTACGTCCATGTGTAAACGGGTATTTTTGAAAACGCAGCTTTTCTATGCGTTTGGGCCTTTCGTCCACACGTCACGCTTTGCGCCACATTATTGTTGACATGAGATTAATTTCAACAATGGTGGATAAAGACAAGATACTGTTGCTGTTAATTGTACTTACTGCAGTTTTTCCACGCTTACATATACTGCCCCTCCATTTAGAAAGATAGAGGTGTCAGAGTGAACTTCGGACGTGGCTTCTACATTCAACACAGACTGGCCAACATTTCTACACAGCTAGGATTTGGCATGTTCTTGACAGCATTTGACTTTGTTTTTTGCATTTACATGTGGACAGAGATATTTTTTCAAAACTGCATGTGTGGACAGGATTTTCTTCTTTTTTTTTTTAAGTAAATGGAAAATCTCAGTTTTCAAAAATACCAGTGTACTGTGGACTCTTACTTTCATACATGCCCAGGCTTGTCTCATACACAGTCTTGTAGTCTTTCATGATTCATCAACAAAACTTGGAATATAATTTTCCTTTTCTGAAGCTAGGCGAGTGTGTTGTTGAAAGGAAAACTCACAAGTTAATTATAGCCAAGCTGCTGGTAGGGGAAAAAAACAATACAAAATCAGTCTTATAGGTTGATGACAGTACATGTGGTGTTATTCTGACACTACCTTATCACACAGCCCTCTGGGAACTAGAACGTCATACAATACTACCTTCCAAGACTCATTTTCTATGTATCCTCTAAAACACCAAGCTGTAAATCAATATTTATTGTAAAAATCCTTTTTAAAACAGAGAAATTAAGAAAAACATTATCTTTAAATATTTGGTTTAATGTGATTGTGTTTTCTGTGCTAAATAAATCTTTTCTTCTCCCTCCCACTTGCCCCTTTCTCAGGACAAGAAAAAAGAAAAAAAGGAAGCACTTGAGGTAAGAATGAGAACAGCTCAAGACTAAACAAGATTAAGAAAACAATAATAATAACACACACTGTTGTCTCTTCCATCCTTCAGAAAATTAAGGAGGATTTGGAAGGTAAACTGAGTGAATGCTCTCCTGATGACAAGTTTGAAGTTATTGTGAGTTTTATTAATTCATCAAACTTTTCTTAAAATCTTGTTGTTGTTTTTGTTCATTTTATTTAAAATATGTTTTAAACCTCCACTGGGTCATTATTTACATATTATGAATACAGGCTTCTCTGCAACATTTCATTTTAGGATGTCACTTTGGACTATGGGATGGAAAATGATGACCCCCTCATTAAAGCATATTTCTATCGCAAGGATAACCCTGATAAAGGAGAACCAATCCCCAAATCAGATGTGAGAACTACAGCCTTGATTTCCATATGCTGTGTTCTTTTTAATGCACCTCAATAAAACAACGTTGGCTGTGTAATATGTAATTTTTATGCTGCTGTCCCTGATGTCAGGTGTTCAGTGTCCTCCCAGACTGGTTTTCTGACGAGATGCTTAGGGTTTACTGGAAGAATCCTAAGGAACTAACAGATGAACAAATAAAAACAAAAGAGGAAGAATTCAAGAAAGTCTTCAATGACTGGTGCAAGGAGAATGGTTATAAGGTATTACTTTATCTATAGGTATTACTACATAATAAGCAAACTGATGCAAGTGTAAGCACGAGTTGAGATTGCATTTCATGACTCTTGGTGTGACTAATAAGCTTTATTTATAAACACAGGATCTAAACAAGGAAGTCCCCAGCGCTGGTCGAGCAACTTCAGGAAATGAATGAATGAATGAATGAATATGTCAAAGATTCAGTTATCAATTTTTTTTGTGCAACAGTAGAGATTTTAATATAGGTGTTTTGAATGAGAAAAATAATGTTGTTTGATTTTTTTTTCATTGTTTGATTTAAATCTTAACTATATGATTTAGACTAGATGTGAAATTTTATCAAAATATTACATATTGAATGATTTTTTTTGTGATTTGGACTAACTGATACTACTTCCTTTAACATGTATCAATATGAAATAAGCTCTTGATAATCTAAAATAAAAAATTTATTGTAATGTTTTGACTACATATTGCACGTTTTCACTAGAATCAAACTAAATAGATCACCTCGTTTCAATACATGCAGTTTTGGGTACTGTTGTGATTTGGTCATTATCTGAAAATTCATTATTTATCATATCGTCTATCAATGAAAATCTATAAAAGTTAGAATCTTTCAGCTGTTTTCCTGTTCTGATTCGTTTGCTGCTGATTTCTGGTAAATTCCAAATAAAGCTAATTTTCTCTTATGTTTTGTGTCACTGTGAAGTTACAGCTCTTACAACATAACATTTAACACACTGTCTGTCCTTTGGGTGCTGCCTGAAAAAGGTAACCAGAATGCCAAGGTGGCTGGAGCTGAGGTGGTAGAGCAGATCACCTACTAATCGGAATGCTTTTTTATCTTGCTGCTACCCCCCCAAAAAAACCCATCTCCATAGAGACTCTGTCAGCTCCCAAAAAGACAAAAAACAAACTAAAAACCAGCAACAAACAACTTAAACATAAACAATCACAAAGAAAGAACAATACAGTATCCACATCTGAACCAAAGAGTAAAACAGTGAAATGTGGATTATTAAATATTAGGTCTCTCTCCTCCAAGTCTCTGTTAGTACATGACTTAATAATTGATCAACAAATTGATTTACTCTGCCTTACAGAAACCTGGTTGCAGCAGGATGATTATGTCAGTTGAAATGAATCAACACCCCCCGAGTCATTCTAACTACCAGAAACCTCGAAGCACAGGCCGAGGGGGCGGTGTGGCAGCAATTTTTCACACCAGCCTATTTATTAATGAAAGACCAAGACAGACTTTTAATTCATTTGAAAGCCTGATGCTTAGCCTCGTCCACCCCAGCTGTGAAACTCAGAAACCAGTCTTACTTGTTATCATCTATCGTCCACCTGGGCCTTACACAGAGTTTCTGTCTGATTTCTCAGACTTTATATCTGATTTAGTGCTGAGCTCAGATAAAATAATTATTGTGGGTGATTTTAACATCCATGTAGATGCTAAAAATGACAGCCTCAACATGGCATTTAATCTGTTATTAGACTCAATTGGTTTCTCTCAGAATATAAAAGAACCCACCCACCACTTTAATCACACTCTAGATCTTGTTTTAACATATGGCATAGAAACTGAACATTTAACAGTGTTTCCTGAAAACCCTCTCCTGTCTGATCATTTCCTGATAACATTTACATTTACAATAATTGATTACACAGCGGTGGAGAGTAGACTTTATCAAAGTAGATGTCTTTCTGAAAGTGCTGTAACTAAGTTTCAGAATATAATCCACCCACTGTTATCATCTTCAATGCACTGTACCAATATAGAGCAGAGCAGCTATCTGAACGCTACCCCAACAGAGGTCGATTATCTTGTTAATAATTTCACCTCCTCACTACGTACGACTCTGGATACTGTAGCTCCTGTGAAAACTAAGGTCTCTAATCAGAAGTGCCTGACTCCGTGGTATAATTCTCAAACACGTACCCTAAAGCAGATGACTCGTAATCTGGAGAGGAAATGGCATGTCACAAATTTAGAGGATCATCATTTAGCCTGGAGAAATAGTTTGCTGCTTTATAAGAAAGCCCTCCGCAAAGCCAGAACATCTTACTATTCATCACTGATTGAAGAAAATAAGAACAACCCCAGGTTTCTCTTCAGCACTGTAGCCAGGCTGACAAAAAGTCAGAGCTCTTTTGAGCCAACAATCCCTTTAACATTAACTAGTAATGACTTCATGAACTTCTTCACAAATAACATTTTTATCATTAGAGAAAAAATTACCAATAATCATCCCACAGATGTAATATTATCTACAGTTACTCTTAGTACCATTGATGTTAAGTTAGACTCTTTTTCTCCAATTGATCTTTCTGAGTTAACTTCAATAATTACTTCCTCCAAACCTTCAACGTATCTATTAGACCCCATTCCTACAAAAAGAAGTCCTGCCAGTAATTAATTCTTCGATCTTAAATATGATCAACCTATCTCTAATAATCGGCTATGTACCACAGGCCTTCAAGCTGGCTGTAGTTAAACCTTTACTCAAAAAGCATCTCTAGACCCAGCAGTCTTAGCTAATTATAGGCCAATCTCCAACCTTCCTTTCATATCAAAAATCCTTGAAAGAGTAGTTGTCAAACAGCTAACAGATCATCTGCAGAGGAATGGTTTATTTGAAGAATTTCAGTCAGGTTTCAGAGCTCAGCACAGCACAGAAACAGCTTTAGTGAAGGTTACAAATGATCTTCTTATGGCCTCTGACAGTGGACTCATCTCTGTGCTTGTCCTGCTAGACCTTAGTGCAGCATTCGATACTGTTGACCATAATATCCTATTAGAGCGATTAGAACATGCTGTAGGTATTACAGGTACTGCACTGCAGTGGTTTGTATCATATCTATCTATGAGGCGACTTTTGTTGTGATATGGCGCTATATAAATAAAATTGAATTGAATAACTACTAGACTACAGAGTACTGTAAACATTTATTTGTGTAATTTAAAGTACCTCATGGGCTAACACACTGAATCAAAACATAGATTTGAGGGAAAATGTACAGCTTTCATACGCATACAATGCCACCTGAAATAACTTTTCAATAAAAGATTTTTTAACTAGCTTTAGTTTTCAGTTTTCAGTTTTATTTGTCATATCAGAATCAGAATCAGAATCAGAATGGGTTTATTGCCAGATGTTGAGGTTTACAACATTAGGAATTTGCTGCGGTGCTTCAGTGCAAACAATAAGAATTAAAGTGCTATGTAGAAAGAAAGATATGTGCATGAGATATACATGAGATATATACATGAGAATAAGAATTAAGAGTGCTACGTAGAAAGATATATACATGAGTGCAGGTGGTGATCAGTGCCAGACATGAAATGATGCAGTGACACAGCGTAGGGTCATGTGTTAGTGGCGGGGACAGTCATGTGGTTATTGTTCATGTGTCCAACAGCAGAGGGGAAGAAACTGTTCTTGTGGCGAGAGGTTCTGGTGCGAATGGACCGGAGCCTCCTGCCTGAGGGGAGCAGGTCAAACAGACTGTGTCCAGGGTGAGAAGGGTCAGCTGAGATCCGGGCTGCATGCCGCAGTGTCCTGGAGGTGTACAGGTCCTGCAGAGATGGGAGTCTGCAGCCAATCACCTTCTCAGCAGAGCGCACAACACGCTGCAGTCTCTGTTTGTCCCTGATAGTGGCTCCAGCGTACCACACGGTGATGGAGGAGGTGAGGATGGACTCGATGATTGCAGTGTAGAATTGCATCATCGTCCGTGTTGGCAGGTTGAATTTCTTCAGCTGCCTCAGGAAGTACATCCTCTGCTGGGCTTTCTTGATGACGGAGGTGATGGTGGGCTCCCACTTCAGGTCCTGGGTGATGGTGGTACCCAGGAAGCGGAATGAGTCCACAGAGGTGATGGGGGTGTCAGTCAGGATGATGGGGGGGAGTGGGGCTGTGTGCTTCCTGAAGTCCACAATAATCTCCACTGTCTTCTGGGCATTCAGCACCAGGTTGTTGTGGCTGCACCAGGACACCAGACGTTCAACCTCCCTCCTGTAGGCAGACTCATCCCCGTCAGAGATGAGCCCAATGACGGTGGTGTCATCTGCGAACTTGATTAGCTTGACAGACTGGTGGGTGGAGGTGCAGCAGTTGGTGTACAGGGAGAAGAGCAGAGGAGAAAGAACACAGCCCTGAGGGGAGCCGGTGCTGATGGTCCGGGAGTCCGAGACATTCTTCCCCAGCCTCACGTGCTGCTTCCTGTCCGTCAGGAAGTCAGTGATCCACCGGCAGATGGGATCAGGCACATTCATCTGGGAAAGCTTGCCTCGGAGATGGTCTGGAAGGATGGTGTTGAAGGCAGAGCTGAAGTCCACAAACAGGATCCTGGCGTAGGTTCCTGGGGAGTCCAGATGCTGCAGGATGAAGTGTAGGGCCATGTTGATGGCGTCATCTACAGACCTGTTGGCTCTATATGCAAACTGCAGGGGGTCCAGGAGGGGGGCCGTGAGGGTCTTGAGATGGGAGAGAACTAGGCGCTCAAATGACTTCATGACCACAGATGTCAGAGCCACGGGTCTGTAGTCATTTAGTCCAGTGATCCTAGGTTTCTTGGGGACAGGGATTATGGTAGAGGACTTGAAGCAGGCAGGCACATGACATGCCTGCAGTGAGGAGTTGAAGATGCCAGAAAACACTGGGGCCAGCTCGTTTGCACAGTGTCTGAGGGTGGCAGGAGACACACCGTCTGGGCCGGGAGCTTTCCGAGCATTCAGATTCTTAAACTGCTTCCTCACATCTGCTTCATGAATATGAAGAGTTGTGGTCGGAGGAGGTGGTGTGAAATCCTCTTTTGTGTGGGGTGAGGAGGGGGGTGTTGTAGGTGAACAGTTTGAAGGTGGTGATGGCTCTATGGAGGGGGGAGAGGTGGGGGAATGAGTGTCCAAAGTGCCTCTATTGTTGGGGTCGTTGGAGGTGTGAAGGCTGCCTGATGGCTCGTCAAAACGACAGTAGAAGTCGTTGAGGGTGTTGGCCAAGAGCAAGTCATCAGTGGAGTGGGGGGTTTTAGGCTTGTAGTTTGTGATATTCCTAAAACCTTTCCACACAGAGGCCGAGTCATTCTCTGAGATCTGCTGCTGCATCTTCTCAGAGTGCTGATGTTTGGCAATGTCCACTTCTTTAGTAAACCTGTACTTGGCCTCTCTGTAGCAGTCCCTGTCTCCGCTTCTGAACGCCTTACTCTTTTCCAGCCACAGCTTTTTGAGTTTAGGGGTAAACCAGGGTTTGTCATTGTTATAACTCACCCTGGTGCGTGATGGCACAATGCTGTCCTCACAGAAGTGGATATAGGAGGTGACAGTGTCCGTAAACTCGTCCAAGCTGTTAGAAGCAGCCTTCATTGTGTCCCAGTCTGTAGACTCCAAACACGTGCGAAGCTCCTCCACAGCCTCGTTGCTCCACAGTTTTTTGGTCCTCACGACAGGTTTGGAGAGCTTCAGCCTCTGTCTGTACGCGGGGATTAGGTGGATCATGACGTGATCAGAAAGTCCGAGTGAAGCGCGCGGCACCGCGCGATAGGCCCCGCTGATCGTGCTGTAGCAGTGGTCCAATGTCCTCTCCTCTCTGGTCGGGCATTTAATATACTGCTTGTATTTCGGAAGCTCATGGCTCAGATTGGCTTTGTTAAAGTCCCCAAGAGCAATGATGAGAGAGTCCGGGTA